TAAAATTAGGATCCCTTTTATTATGCTATTTTACATAAGCCTTGCAAGCTAGATTCATCTCTCCTGGCAAGGGAGAAGGGTCCTGAGGATTTCAGCAGACATAAAAGGTTTTTAAGGAGTCAGGAGCTAGTGGCTCAGGCCTGTCATCCTAGCTGCGCAGGAGGCTGAGACCTGAGGATTGCAGTTTAAACCCAGATTGGGAAGGAAAGTCTGTGAGACTCATCTCCAGTTTACCACCAAAAAGTCAGAAATGGAACTGAGGCACAAGTGGTAAACCACCAGCCTTGAGTGAAAAGGCTCAGGGACAGCATCCAGGTCCTGAGTTCAAGCACCAGGACCAGCACACAGAGGGGGAGAGAGAACAATATCAACTTTTTCTTGTATGTGTACTGTTTTCTATCGCATGTTGCATTGGAAAACAGAATTTTTTAAAGAAAACAATGCATGGATTCAGTAATCCTGCGGAGACTGCTGCCACCTAGAGGTTGGCATCCGACATTACCTCCACCCTGCAGGTTACTGCTCTGGGGTTACACAGTGGAGGACATACTTTGTGGGAACTTACAGTGACAAAACACAATGCTACATGCATCTGTGCATGAGCACCCAGTGCAAACTGGAGATGTGAGACCACGTGTTCACAAATGATTCAGAATTCCAAAACCCTAACAGTAAAACAGTAAGAAGAATGGACCAGGCACTGGTGGCTCATGCCTGTAATCTTAGCTGTACAAGAAGCTGAGATCTGAGGATCACAATTCAAAGCCAGCTATGGCAGGAAAATCCATGAGACTCATATGTCCAATTAACCACCAGAAAGTTGGAGGTGGACTTGTGGCTCAAGTGGCAGAGTGCCACCCTTGAGCATAAAAGCCTGGGACCATCTCGCGGGCCCTGAGTTCAAGCCCCAGGACAGACAGACAGACAGACACACACACACACACACACACACACACACACACACACGTGACTTTCATCAGCCCATTTCTATCTGTGAACCAACCTCTACTGCTCACTTCACAGGAGCTCACCTTGGTTTACAGGACGAGTTGTCTGATTCTAGGATGGAAACAAAAGCCAATTAGCATACTTAAATTGTATGATGGCATAACCTAGCCATTTATCCCAGAGAAAAACTCTCTCATAGGAATCCTTGTCCCCGGGTCTGCCTGCAGGGCTGCTCATCTCCAGCTGTTATAGCTCCACCCCCATGGGCCAGTCCTGAGGGAGCTTGCTTGCTTGCTTGCTTGCTTGCTTGCTTGCTTCATTCCTCCCTGCTCAGCCATCTGGCCAAGGCCAAGGACCCTGGCAGGCAACAGATGATGTGTCTCTTCTCCTCCCACAGGCAAAGCCCAAGTCCATCCCAGGTTCAATTTCTGACCCCACAGACGTCCTTCATGTCTCCGCTCAGCTTCTCTGTGTCTGCTGAGCCGGTCTCTTCCTGTCCCCTTCGCTTCCTTTTAAATGATTTTCTGGGAGGGAGCAAGGCTTCGTGGGAAATAGTCTAAGTGAGAAGGCATTTACCTTGCACCTGCTCTGTGCCAGGCCCATGGCCTTCCCTGTATCTGAACACAACTCAGAATCACCCAGCGAGGTCACCCCTCAACTCTCCCCAGTTCACAGACCAGGGAGAAGCTTGGGTCCTATGCCAGGCCTGCTCAGCAGCTGAGCCATCTACAGAGAAAGCGTCCTGAAGCCTGAGGCCTACCTCTGACCCCAGCTCAGTTAGCCAGGCCACCATGCAGGAAGCCAAAACATCCAGAGCCAGCCTCAAATTGCACTCTCCCCTGCCTCCAGGCAGGTGATGCACCTTTATACTCAGGCCTCAGTTTCTTCATTTGTTAAATCAAAAAATGCAAGGTCTGTGTCTACAAAGATCTGACAGCCTTTGGCCTGCAGCCCCTGTTAGGCTGGGGCCCAGGGCTCCTATGAGTTCCAGTTCACAGTAGTCTAACCTGGCCTGCAAGCCTGGCCCTTCATGCTGGCCACCTGGCCTTCCCCTCCTCTTGGACTTTCCCTGGCTCTTACCCAGATCTCACCAAACATGTTTGCAGCTTTGCCTCCTCCTCCACCAGGCTGGAAAAGATCTCTTGCGTTTCCTCATTCGGGAGGATTTAGGGACTAGCAGTAAACATGAAAATCTCCATGTGAACTTTCTCCTTTGGTCTCTGTACATTCCAGAAGTGTCACCAGCTGATTCTGGAAAAAAAACTATAGCTATGTCCCCCTCTGCTTGGGGCACTGACCGGATGATAAAGGGCATCCGTGGTACTGGGGTCCTGTCAAGATCTCAATTGGCTTGATTTCCAGTTCTGCAATCAGGCAACCTTTCCATCTATAAAATAGAGTAAGTCTTCCAGAAATTTCCAAACATTTGGGACTCTTCTTAACACACACACACACACACACACACTCATCCATCTCTTTAGGGCATTGAATCCTGCATACCTTAATTTGCCAGCCAATTTATTTCCTTTTCTCTAAAACCTTGCTCTCGTTACTCTAATAGGCACTGGAGCTCAGGGAACCAAAGCTGCATAGCAGAACTAGTTGGGGAGAAAGTGAGCAACAATGAAATCCTTCACTGCTGACCTGTAAATGCGTGCTGTCACCAGGATAGCTAGAATGCGCTACCCTTCAGAACCTGACCTGGACCTTGCTTTGAACCCAGGTGCCTGTGGCCTGGGGCAGCGCTTCCCAGCTCCTAAATTCCAGCCCACAGCTGCCCGTCCCCTGGGGACCCTTCAGTCCCTGCACTCATCCCCGTCTCCCCATGGAGCCACAACTCAAGACAGCTAAGGGCTTGGGAGAACTGGCCCGTGGAGGGGGTTAGATGAGAAAAGGCCTGAGCCTTCCTCCCCCATTGCAGTGGAGGGGCCACCTGGCCCCCCTTGTGTCCCAGGAAAAATGGAACTGAAAGGCATAGCTAGAAAGATACCCAGTGGTCTCTAGGTCCTGACTCCACGCATGTGTGCATTGTGGACTTTAGGATTGTTGAACTCTGGATGGTATTTGGAGGCACTGCCAATAGGGGGCAATCTAAAGTTGGATTCTAGCCATGGAGGTAGGCCGGCTGGCCTGCATGCCTGCCTGCCTGCCTGCCTGCCTTCCTTCCCTCCTTCCCTCCTTCCCTCCTTCCCTCCTTCCCTCCTTCCTTCCCTCCTTCCTTCCCTCCTTCCTTCCTTCCTTCCTTCCTTTCCTTTCCTTTCCTTCCCTTCCTCTTCCTTCCTTCCTCTCCCTTCCTTTCTCTCCCTTCCTTTCTCTCCCTACCTCCCTTTATCCTTGACCTCAGAGCCTTGCGCTGGTTGCCATCTGAGCACGCCTGCCCCCTGCTGTTTTGCTTTTAGGTTTTTGTGGTGGTGGTAGTTTTGTTTTCTTTTAATAGTCACAGACTGTGATTCTCCTACCTCCACCTTCCCAAATAGCTAGGATTACAGGTGTGCCCTATTATACCTAACTTGTTGCTTTTGCTTTTGTTGTAAGCCAAGCTGTAACTCTGCAGCGCAAGCTGGCCTTGAACTAATGATCCTCTTTATCTCAGCCTTCCTAATACTAGGATTACAGATGTGTGCTACCACACCCAGCTATAACCTGCTTTTATTGGTATCATCTGCAGTGGTTCTTGGGTGTGACAGAAATTATGAAGACAGTGCTGAATCATGATAGGTAAGCCAAACCTTGTGTGAATTACAAGAGTGAATAACTTTTCACTCACCAAATAAATGCCTCTTGAGAATTGGGCTCCTGTAACCTAGAGCTGCAAATAGCTGTGTGAATTTATACCATCTAGGGGCCTGGGGTACACAGAAAGCAGGAGGTGCGATTGGAAAGAGGAACAGGTGTTAGAGCCTTCTTTAAGTTAAACTTATACATGTATACACTTGTTTTACTCTGCCAAGATGACAAACGGACGCTCTGGACAACGATTCTTAAACAGTGCTCCTCATAGTGTCCTGAGAGGGAATCTTTAAGTGCCGCAGAGCCGTTGCTCCCTCCTGTGGGGATGGAAGCCGCCGGCTTGCTTCGGGTCCGCCTCGTTCCCAGCCTGGTTATCAGGTTGCACTCTCTGCCATCCACATTCTCTGCAGCAGGCGCCCGGCCAGCCCTTCTTCCAAGGCCGCCTCAGGAAAGTGCTGAGCTAAACGCAGCGTGGAGGTGGATGTCAGTCATCATCTTCCATGTGTCCATGGAGCAGCCTGGTGCCTGCCTGGTCCCGGTACAGCCTGCTGGCTCTGTCTGCAGCTGTCATCACATGGCCCCGGGCTGATATGTGCAGATGTGGTCCTGTAATCAGGACCCCCTCCGTCCCTCACTTGCCCCTCTCTGGCTGAGACAACACCCTGTGTGATTTCTTCAATCACTACTAACCCACCAGGATTCCCTTCCTAGAGGGAAGGGCTGGGCCTCGCACCCAAGGCCCCACAAGGCCCAGGGCTGCTCCATGGATACATGGATTCTGACTGTGAGCCTGCAGTTCTTCTGGGCCTGAATGTAGGCAGGGACAGCATGCACGGACGCACCACACATTCCTGACATCTCATTGGTCCACTCCTGAGCCTATCACTTTGAGATGGATCAAACCCACCCCTAGAGCACAAGGAAGGTTGTGACCAACTTAGCTTAAGTCCATGGGCCTATGGAGTCGTCACATAGAAATAATTGGGTTTGCTCAGGGAGCAGGCAGAGCATGATTCTACGGCATTCCAGTGTAGGACCCATCCACCCAGAGGCAAAAGGAGACCCCAGGATCTGGGCTGGAGACAGATTGGCACACAACTCTTGCATCCTTCCAGGGTATCATGGAGAAAGGTGTGGGGCAGGGAGATGGAGGGGGAAGTCAATCTCTCAGTATTCCCATCTTCCTCCACGGATGCCCTCCACACCACACAGCCAGTGCCCCTCTTATGAAGAGACACACCGAGGAGAGAAACAGGGCTCCGATGTGTGCCCTTCTTTATTATCATCAATTTCTCTGGGCAGAGGGCACTTCTGCCTCATATCTAGAACTTTGAATTCTTGGATTTGCGCCTTTCTTCATATTTCTCATCCAGCGCTTTCTGCAAGGTAATGTTCAAAGTATTTTTCTGGTGCCATCGTCCTGCAGAAAAGCAGAGAAGAAGCCAGCAAGGGTCATCTAGCAGCCCTGGGATAGCCCGGTCCTGGCAGTGACCTAGTCTCTTCAAGTCCACCCCCGGAGCTCTTTCCCTGGACCTTAGCGCCAGCCCAACCCCCCACCCATGGAGGAGAGGCCCACCTCGCCTTCACCCCAGCCCCCACCTACCCAGTTCGTCTGTCTTCCTGCCGTGCCAGTGTTCCATGTCTCTCACTGATTTCTTGACGGCCTCCAGTGTGTAGGAAGCCTTCATGAGGCTCTTTGTCTCCAGGGGGGCCCCTGAGGGATACCATGAAGAAGCCCCCACACACACAAGTCAATAGAGGGAGGCCACTCCGTGCTGTATACTGGGCATCAGTTTCAGAGTACGGCCGGTCTGGGTTCAAAGCACAGCTCCACTGTTTACAGCTAGTACAGCCCTGGACAAGCCCTTAATCTCTCTGAACTTCCATTTCTTTATCAGTACAAAAGGGTAAAGTTTTCTTGTAAAGCTGGGGACATTAAAGTATTGGGATGTCTGTCCTGAGGTAACAGATACCAGTATTTTCAGAAAATGTATCCCAGTACACAAAATGAGAGCACACACAAGGAAGTAAGCTCCCATGATCAAAAGTCAGCAGAAACATCAGGTCATATGCAGAGGCCGGAGCCATGACATGGTGGCAAAGTGCTTATCTAGAATGCACTAAAGCCCTGGGTTCGATTCCTAGCACTGAAAGTAAAATCCCCCCCTTTTTTTTTGAGAGGATTGTGGGTAGAGTGAAGGACTGAATCCAGCACTTTGTATGTGCTGGACAAGTGCTCTACTATTCAGCCATACTCCACCCATCCTGTAATTCCTTGTCTAGATGCATCCCAGAAAATCAAGAACACCAAAGACAACAGAAATCCTAGCAGCAACTGTAGAGGAAAATGGAGTTTACTTACAGAGAATAATGATTTGCTTACCCATCAATAACGGGAGAAAAATGAATTTGTATTGAAGTGTTAATGGAAAGTACTCATGGATCTAGAATTGTTCATAATGTGACTGTCTTCCAAGAACAAAACCCATAGAACTATTCTGATAAACAGGACCTAAAGTTGTCTGATGTCACAGCCTCACTGAAATGACTTCTAAACAGCATCCTCCAAGAAGAAAAAGAAATGATCTCAGAGGAGCTGAGGCAGGAGAAGGAATGGAAGACAGAATCTAAACACATAGCATCAATATCTAATTTATGGGGTAAAATAATAAAGATAATGTCACTCCTCTCCCGCCCCTCTCGCCTGCTTCCCCCAGCCCCCCAGTCCCTCTGCTGCTGGATTGAACCCAGGCCTTGTATATGCCGGGCACACCAGTCAGTTGAGAGGGAGAGATTCAGAGAGGAAAGATGTGTTTGGGTCCAAGGCTTCAGAGGTTTCAGTGCATCATGTCTGGAGGAGGCAAAGGCAGAGCAGCTCACCTTATGGCAGCCAGGAAGCAGAAAGAGTGAGCCAGAAATAGACAGAGACTGAGACAGACACGGCCGTGCTAGCTGGCTCTCCCCTTTCCCCTTTTCTTCCATTTGAGTCACTCCTTCAGCTTGCCAACCAGAGCGTCACATGAATGGGACACTTCTCAAACATCCTAAGAAGCAGGTAGCAGTATGATCCTCTCGTTCTTGTTGAAGGCATTGGAGCACAGAGAGGTTAACTCACTTATTGTAAAGTCACACAGCTGGTAAGTAAAAGGTCAAGATTCAAACCCAAGCCCCAAGTCTCCAAGCTCCACAGCATAAACTACTTTGCTTTATCTAGAACATTCTGTAAAATGGAATATATTCTGTGAAATAGAATTCTATAAAATGAGGAAGGGCAGAGGAAAGGCAAAGACTTTTGCTGTCTTTAGGATGCTCTAGAGGTTCTCATGCCTTGATAAAATTTAGGATTTGTTAACCTTTGTCAAAGGCCTATTCAAAGAACAGGAAGTATAGAAAAGGATTTTTTCCCAAAAAAAAGAAATTAAAAAAAAAGAAAAATCTATGTAAATCAAGAGGGGCGGGGAAGAACAGCATGACAAATACAAATATAAAACATAAAATCAGGTCATGGCAGTAGACCTAAATATATCAGTAATTAGCACAAATATAAGTGTGTTGTGTCCATTGCTTAAACAACAGATTTCCTGACTGTGGAAAATACTTTCTAGATAAATATTATTTAAAGCTTGCTTTTTACAAAGGACACAAAAAGAGGCTAAACATGGAAGGAATAGAAAAAAAAGATACATCAACCAAACACTAACCCAAAGCAGTCTGGTCTGGCTATATTTATAGCAGACAAAATAGACTGAAAGGCAAAGACACTAAAGAAAATAATTTTTTAAAAAGGATTGTAAGGTCATGCAGTACTTCTGAGCTTGCCACATTGAAATAATCTCAAAATAGATCAAAGAAAAAAATCAAGAGAACTCTAAGAAGAAATAGACAAATCTGCTATTCTCGGGAAAGATAAAAACTGCCTTCTCTAGCTGGGCACCAGAGGCTCATGGCTCTATTGACAGCTACTCAAGAGGCTGAGATCTGAGGATCGCGGTTCAAAGCCAGCCAGGGCAGGAAAGTCCCTGAGACTCTTATCTAATTAACCACTAAAAAGCCAGAAGTAGAGGTGTGGCTCAAGTGGTAGAACACCAACTCTGCAGCACAAAAGCTCAGGGATGGCACCCAGGCCCTGAGCTCAAGCCCCAGGATTGGTGCACGTGTACACACACACATATTCAGGTATCTCATAGTAACAAAGCAAAGGACATTAATAAAGAATAATGTAACTCACACCCAAATTCTATTTCACACACACAGAATCTACCCTCCCAAGTGACTGCTCCCAAGCGGGTGAGGTTGCTTGTTTGAGCTGGATGCTGGCAGGGCTCCGGTTTCCAGGGACTGAAAGCATTCCATGCTCTGTTTCCTAAGGGCGAGGTTGCCCACTTTCTGGAGCACAGCAAGGATAAAGGAGCTAGAAATCCATTGTATAGTATTACATTTTTTAAGTAAGAACCTATTTTAATGTAACAGAAGAAAGCTGGGAGAAAGAGAGAAACGAGAGAGAAGCACTTCCTGCCCCCCACACGAGTCCAGAACTCCTCCCTGCTCGTATTTAAAAGCGGGGTTTGGAGCTTGGCACTTATGTCTCAAACACTTATGTAACAACGTTGAAGTAGACGCTTGGATGAAAGCCCTCGGTCAGGACGGCGATCGAGTATCACAGCCAGCTGAGATGCAAACTCCCCTAACAGGAACTTGCAAGCAGGCATCCAAAACCTGCCCACAGCCCAGCTCTGCCAGGCTATCCAACGGTCAGATTTAGCCGGGCACCGATGGCTCACTCCTGTAACTCCTAGCTACTCAGGAGGCTGAGATCTGAGGAACAAAGTTCAAAGCCAGCCTGGGGAAGGAAAGTCTGTGAGACTCTCCTCTCCAAGGAACCATCAGAAACCTGGAAGTGGCGCTGGGGCTCAAAGTGGTAGAATGCTCGCCTTGAGTGAAAAGCTCAGGAAAACAGGACCCAGACCCTGAGGTCAAGCCCCACAAGCAGCCTGCAGACAAAGGCACAAATCCCAAGGAGGTTGTTTGTTTGTTTTAAAGAAAAATTGACAGGGCTGGGAAGGTGGCTCAGTGGTAGAGTGCTTGCCTTGCATGCATGAGGCCCTGAGTTCGACTCCTCAGCACCACATAAGCAAAAAGAAAAAAGCCAGAAGTGGCGCTGTGGCTCAAGTGGTAGAGCGCTAGCCTTGAGCTGAAGAGCTGAGGGACAGCGCCCAGGCCCAGAGTTCAGGCCCCATGACTGGACCAAAAAAAAAAGAAAAATTGACAAGGAAAAATTGAAAAGGAAAAATTGACAGGAAAGTGAAGCAATCCAAGCCGCCGTGGGGGGTGGAGGGTTTGGGGTGCCACCACCGGGCCCCAGAACAGATGGCTTGTGTACTTTGGTAAACACAAGTGCAATGCTAGAGCCGTGGGCAGGAGGCAGAGCCTGGAACCTGATCTGTGCCCGCGGGGGAACTGGAGGGGGCTGGGGGCGGGGGTGGGGCAGGAGGTGGTGACAAGTTGTCCATACCCCGGCAGTTAAGATAAAGCCCCACACCACACACAAAACAGACGTCCACTCTAGGTGGACTCAAGGCTTCAGGGTGAAAAGCAAAACCAGGAACTTGAGAAGACCAGGTGAGACTTTATCCCATGGCCCATCTCTGTCTCAGTAAACAGTCAGAATCATTCCCTGGTGTTCGGGTCAAAGACCATGAAATCAGCTTTCATTCCACACTCACAGCAAATCCACGCAGAAGTGCATTCTGCTGTTTTCTACCTTGCACAACCCCCCTGATGCTTTCTCCTGCTACCTCCAGCTGTGTCAGCCTCAGCCGTGCAGGCTCCATCTCCCATTAGCCTGTGTGCCTCGCCCAGACCAAGGACGAGAGGGTAGATCTGCAGCAGCTGCTGGCTCCCCTCCCCTCCCCTTGCCACTCTTGGGAGGTCGTAGCAGCTCTAAGAGCTGGGCCTGGTGATAAGCTCTAAGTCCCTGGGGTGGGGCCCAACAGAGATTGTGGGCAGAAGAAAACAGGTCTGAAGTCTCCAACATGGAGAGCCCAACTAAACCCTTCTTCTTTCTAAGTTGATTATGTCTCGAGTATTGGTTACAGTAACAGAAGGCTGACTAACACAGCAGGCTGCCAGCATCTAGATGCCATCTCCTGGTTGTTTGTGGTCGTCTCTTGGTCTCTGTGTCACCCCAGCAATCTTAAGTCACACAAGCTCCCTTCTGTTCTGCTTCAAAGCCCTGCCTTTTTTTTTTTTTTTTGGTCGTCATGGGGACTGAACTCTGAGCCTGGGCGCTGTCCCTCAGCTCTTCAGCTCAAGGCAAGCACTCTACCACTTGAGCCACAGCGCCACTTCTGGTTTTCTGGTGGTTCATTGGAGATAAGAGTCTCATGGACTTTTCTGCCCGGGCTGGCTTTGAACCACAGTTCTCAGATCTCAGCCTCCGGAGTAGCTAGGATTATAGCCCTGAGCCACTGGCACTGGCCAGGCTTGACTTTCTATGAAGCGCAAAGACAGCCCAGGCCAGCGACCCCTCCTACTTCCTCTTTGATTTCTTCTCGCCCACCACAGTCAGTCTTTCATGCCTTAACCTGGAAGAACGCTGCGCAGTGGGGCTGGGCAGGGGGGCAGGGACGGGCACCGTGGGCAGCCGGACGCAGCCCGCAGTCACACTGCTTGCCAGTTTCTGGAGCACGCACACTGCCCCACGGCCAACTCATAGAAAGCATCTAGATGCCACCCAGTTCAGGGACATTCAACAATCAGGCGCGAGAGCACAGCCGTAGCACAGTCCCACCGCTCAGGCTGAATAAAATGGAGTTTCCTGTAAATCTCATGTGTCTGCATAAGATCCTAGGAAGACCTCTCGAGGTCACCAGCAGTGGAAGAGGGCAAAGCGGGCTCCCCCGGCCCAGAACCGAGGACAATCGGAGCTGTGTCCTCTCCCCTCCCCCCGGCCCCAGCACCGTTTCTGCCCCAAGCTCAAAGAAGAAACCCAGAGAGGCTTCCACAGAGTGTCTGGTTCCCCAGGCTACAGGGCCCACAGCCAGGGAGCACTGGAGACGGCCTGGGTTGAGAAGAGGGGAGCAAGCACCAAGCCAGCTCTGCAGTAAGGGTAGAGCTGGGGGGGAGGGGAGGAAGGAGGGGAGCCCCACATGCCACCTGGGGACCCTCACTCCAGAGCAGTCTAGAAGCCCCTAGGGCACAATGTCCCTGCACGGGAGGGGACAGCGTGGCACTGTGGAGCCAGAAGCTGTGGGTGGCTCTGCCCCCCTCCCACACAGGCCTCCGACCGCTGAGGGGCCTTGAGCACGACACACAAATCCATCCACAAGCTGGAGCTCCTGGCGTGCTCTCAGCCACACAGGGCCCCTGCCTGGGGTGGCGCAGGCTCCACCCTCTCAACCCTTTACCCAGGGGGTGCCCACCACCAGGATCCAGGGAAGAAGAAGCACGGACCCTCAGATACACACACAAAGAGGAGCTTCAGCCAGCCACTCATGCCTCTAATCCTAGCTACTCAGGAGGCTGCGATCGGAGGACGGTGATTTGAAGCCAGCCCCAGCAGGAAAGTCCATGAGACTCTTATCTCTAATAAACCACCCAAAAGCCAGACGTGGAGGTGTGGCTCAAGTGGTAGAACACCCAACTTGAGGAAAATAACTCAGGCCCTGAGTTCAAGCCCCAGTACCAACCCAAGAAGAAGAGGAGGAGGAGGAGGAGAAAGAGGAAGACCTGAAAGCCACCACTCTCCCTGTGTCCCAGGCAAGCACCTTCGGGTCCCCACAGAGCCCTGGCGGTGGTGGAAGGCACAATGCTGTCCTCATCGCCCCTGGCCCTGGCGGTGGTGGAGGTTCGGGGAGATGATGGAGCCTTGTCTATGGTTGCACTTAGCTAGTGAGGAGTTGTGCTGACCTTTGAACCCAATGTATTAGCATATCCTACATTGATCAAAAGTGCCCAAGCTGGGATTGCCTGGCCTCTGCTGTGGGTAGGCGGGGCTGGGGCTTCTGCTGGGGGAGGGGGCAGGCTCGCCTGGGAGCCCACGCCCCATGGGGCACGTGCACACACAGGGCCCAGCGTGGAAGATGCCCTTGGGATGCGTGTGTCTATGGACTGCGCCCCACGCCCCACAGGCCTCCCGGCCCAATGCCCTGGAGACCGTGGGCATTCGCCAGCCCCAGCCTTGCCCTTTGTCCTGACCTTGAAACAAATTTGACCGCATGTTGTAGCCCAGATCATAATATTCCGCCACGGTGGGGGAGATCTGCAGAGGACTCTGCGTCCTGCTGGACTGCGAGCTGCCCTTCTTCTGGGCCTCCATCACTTTATCAATGGCCCTCTGAGCCTGATGAGGAGGCAGAGAGGAGAGAAGAGGGTGAGGGCTCGCTCTCACCTTCCCACCCCATCCTCAGCCACAGCCCCACGGCTGGGCGGGGCAGGGGGGGGCTGGAGGGCTTGAAGGCCCTGCCTCCCCCTCCGCTTCCTCCTCCCCCATGGCCTCCCCCTGGGGGCAGCATCAGGGGGCTCTCCAGAGGGTGACACCAGGCCTACCATTTATAAACTAGGAAACAGGGCCATGAGCGGTCAGATATGCTCAGCCCACACAGCTGGGGAGCCCAGAGCCCTGGCTGGCCCTCAGCAAGGGAGCTATAAGAAGTCCTTAGCTGTCAGGGAGTCCAACCCCTTCCTTATACCAAGGGCGAAACTGAGACCCATGAGGCTAAGCCTGGGTAGGCCTACCAGGCAGGAAAGGCCTCAGGCCAGCCAGAGCCTGCCAACGGGCAGACAAGGGAGCTCTGCCACTTCAGGGGCTCCTTCAGTTAGGCCAACTTCATCCTTGGCCCAGTGCATTTCAGGGTGAGTGAGCCTCTTGGTTGGTTTTGAGTTCAAATCCTGCCATAAAACAGCTGCTGACTTTGCCGAGGCTCTGCCCTACTCTTCTGAGCCTGAGTTTTTCCTACTTGCCAAATGTGGATGGAGGACAGAACTGGGGGGCAGGGGGGTGGCAGAGGACAGAACTAGGGGAGGGGCAGAGGACAGAACTTGAGTGTTACGTGAAGTAATTTTCAGCTCTGACACTAATGGGCTCTGAGGCCCCGGAGATTTATATCACACAGCTGGGCAGGAACACCAGATGTCTGGAGTCTCAAAGCCAAGAGGACTTGGAGAGGTCGTGGCCGGCAGGAAACGCCAACAGGGACGAGTCACTCCACGTGGGACTAAACATTCAAGATTGTGACCTTCCAGGTTGGCTGGTGGGAAGGGTCATTGCACCCCAGGAGGACAGGTGGAGGGGAAGCTGGGGAGGGGAAGAGGGGAATCCACAGTCTCTGGCTGCAGGGATCTTCCTGCTCTGTGACCCAGACCAGGTTGGATCACCTCTCTGGGCCTACTACACTGTGTGGTTGCTTAGATGGTGCTGTTGAAACCGTGTCTCAGAGTGCCAGAGCAGGAAAGATGCGCAGCCTTTCATCAGAAATGCTTCCATTGATTGGGAATGGCTGCTGAGCAGGGTATATCAGGTGGGAAAGAATGCAGGATCGATTAGTCATGTCTGCCCTGGATGCAGGCTGAGACTCCTAGGTATTTATCAGCCTAATGTAATCTGACTTCTGCACCTTCCAACTGGAGAGACTGAAGCCCAGAGAGGAAAGTCACTTACTCAAGGTCACCTAGCATTCAGGAGCAGGATCAGGATTCAAACCTAGGTCTACTGATTCCCACCAAATATAATCCATCCACTGGATGCTATCCCCTTCAGGAGACTTGTTAAAGTGAAAACATCCAATTTAAACACAAAGCTTTTGATAGCAATGCCTTTAAGGGACAGGTTTCCAGAATCTGGCTTGGTCTGGCTCCTTATCCCACATAGCTGGGTGAATTTGGCTAACCTGGTTCACCTCTCTGAGCTTTGGGCTCCTTTCTCTGGATAAAAAAAAAAAAAAAAGGATAGTACTACTACCTTGTTCATAGGGTTATTGGAAGGATGAAATGCATTGTTACACATGACCAGGTTTAGGGGTTTTGTTTTGGGGGGACAGTACTAGGCTGGTGCTCTACCACTTGAGCCACATCTTGAGCCCTGCTTTTTGCTGATCATTTTGCAGATGGAGTTTTGCAAACTTTTCTACGGGGGCTGGCTTTGAACCTTGATCTTCGCGATCTCAGCCTGAGTGAGTAGGGTTCCAGGTATACACCCCGGCTGCCAGGACCATGCAGCATGGGCCCAGCCACTTCAGGGCTGGCAGGGTTTCTTCTGCGCCCTCCCCCTGCCCGGCGCTTCCTGGGTGTTACCTGTTCCTCCGTCACTAGCTGGTCCACCACTTGGCTGCCAAACTTGTGGCGAATGTTGTCAGGAATAACGCTGGCTTTCTGGTTGGGGTTCTCGTCAGGCTGAGCCTTGAAGCCCTCCTTCTTCAGGGCTCCAGACTCTCGGTCCATCCCCAGAGAGTCCTGGCTGGCTGGGGTTGGAGGCGGAGGCCGGATCTCCTCCGGGTAGCCCTGCCCCAGGGGACTGTTGTGGGCACTGTGGGGGAGCGGGGCCTGGTACTTGAACTTGGAAGTATCCATGTTGCTGAGGGCAGTCTCCCAGGCGACCCCCTCCTGCTGGTCCTCCTTGCTGTCCAGGTGGTGAAGCCTGGTCAAATTGGTTGTACCTAAACTGGGCCAAGAAAGACAGAGAGAGAAAAAGAGAGACACACACATACACACAGGTAAACACAGAAAAGGCAGGGCAGGAAGGGGACAGGGCCGTGAATGGGGAAGGGAGATGGGCAGCACACAGGCCAGAGGCCACAAGACAGACATCATGGAAGCCAGACACACAGCCGGGGAAGGAAACAGTGACAGGAAAACAGTGGCATCAGTGGCCAGGCGTGACCCAAGGATTGGGTTGGCGCACACTGCTTTTGACCATGGAGATGGTGTGGCTACAAGTGAGGTAGTCTGGTCCCTTTGTGTCCCTGGCTGTCTACTCTTCACCCTGGACACCGCCCCCCTGCCCCAGCAAGCCAGTACAGGCTCGGGTAGCCATGGGGGTTGGCTGGTCGCAGACCCAAAGCAGCAATCACTTCTGAGCGTTGGCTTTGTCCTCTGTCCACCTGTCACCAACCAGCTGTCACATCTCCACCCCCACTCCTACCAGCTTCCCATCAAAGCCCCCACCCCACAGTGTGCACGGACCTCCAGAGACCATCGTGTTCCTCTGCCCAGGCTGGCATGCCAGGGAGAGACAGGCTCTCCTCTCTCTAAGTCAGACTCCAACCCTTGCTTATTGGTGCAGCCCACCAAAAAATAAAACATCTCCTTTCCTCTCCCCCATGAGAAGATCATCTCCAAAGGGGGTCCACCTGTGAGCCATCCAGAGCCCCCCCACCACCACCCTGGGAACCCCAGCCCATCCAAAGAGGTACAGGCTTCCTCTGTGAATGTGTGGGTGAGCAATGTCAGAGCCCAAACAACATGGCACCCAAGGGTCTCTAGGACACCTATTTGCTTTGCATGAGGACTCCGCTGATGCCAGGCTGCACCTCCTGACCACTCTTATGACAAGTAGGTCTTTGTGCCTCTGACAGTAAACAGTTGGAAAGAGACAGCCCACCTGCTTCCGGCACCTCCCGCGTGGCAAGCATTTCACTTCTTACCATAGAAGTCGAAAGACAGATCGGCCTCCCAGCCTGGCCCATCCTCAGCCCCAGCTCATGGCTGCGAGCTCCCCTCCGAAACTCTACAAGGGTCTCCTCTTTCCTTCAGTCTGTGTGTGTGTGTGTGTGTGTGTGTGTCTGTCTGTCTGTCTGTCTGTCTGTCTGTGTGTCTGTGTGTATGGGGGGGGGGGGTGTACTGGGGCTTGAACTCAGACACTGGTCCTTGTCCCTTAGCTTTTTTACTTTTTGGTTTGTTTTTTTATTTTTCACTCAAAGCTAGTGCTCTACCACTTGAGCCATAGCTCTACTTCTGGCTTTTTGCTGGTTCCTTGGAGATAAAAAGTCCCAACAGACTTTCCTGCCCAGTCCTGGCTTCAAACCTTGATCCTCAGACGGATCTCAGTCTCTTGAGTAGCTGGGATTACAGGCAGGAGCACCCAGCTCCTCCAGTCCTCTGAAAAGACACACAGTTTTGTTCCTCAGCTTCTCGGTGCTGTCCTGTGACTGGCTGAGCCTCAGGGACCTGCCGAGACACAGCTGCCCCTGAGCGCTGCGGGACCCCGCCGGGTCGCCGGGCCTGCTCTGGACATTCAGGCTCCTCCAGGAAGCTTTTCAGCAAAGGCTGCCATGGGCCTCAGGCTTCACAGATTTTGGGGTCTCAAAAAATCTCCTAGCCCCCCACTCTGCTGGCACCAGTTGGTGCCTTGGGGGCTTGACCATCTTGATCTACCCCCCGACTCTGAGCACAGAGAAAGCTGAGGTCTCCTCACTTTCCTCTGCTATTTCACTGTCCCCCCCACCCCCATTTTATCCTCAGCCCTTCATTACCTGCATGCGGCTGGAAGGAGAACCTGTTTCCTGAAGCCAGATGGCCTTCCCTCCCGCCTGCTGGCTCCAGTCCTGGCCAGCAGGCAGCCAAGCACCAGGGGGGCCCTGGGGACGGCTCAGGCCACCAGGACAGGGCCTGGGGGGGGGGACTTCCCGAGGCGGGGCACTGCCTGGTCAGCCACAGCTAGTGGAGATGAGCTCCACCTTGGATCCCAAAGCCCCAAGGGTCAAACCACTGATTCCTAGCCTGCCACCCTGGCTGTCTCTTCTTCTGGGTGGTGACAGTGTAATTCTAATCGTGACAATGTAACTCTAATCGTCCACTTGCCCTCTGCCTGCCCCTTGGGGTTTGCTGGGGTGTCTTGTGTCCTCTGGCTCAGAGACTGAGACCCTCACTGATAATGTGGATGTCAGGTACTCAGTGACAGCAATGAACCAACCGGGCCCAGTCCTCTGGGAGCTGAATGTCTGTGAAGGAATGTGGATGGATGGATGGATGGATGGATGGATGGATGGATGGATGGATGGATGGATCAGTCCAGGATTTCAGAATCTCATGGCACATCTCTTTTTCCTCCCATCACTCAGCTGTGACACATGGGCAGAGTGAGAATCCTGTTCTCTACTAGGGTGAAGAACAAAGGATGCTGAGCAAGCGTTCTCAATTTGGCCACTTCTCTGAACAACCTCTCACTCCGTAACAATGCAGATTCCTGCTCCACTGCGCACTCCCCCCCGCCCCAGCATCTGTGTATAGAATGTTGGCAGAGAGGTGGAGGAAGGTCTGGAAGGCTCCCAAGTGGTGCCAACCATCGGAGGAAGCCTGTGGCAGGAGCGCCTCCAGCCTCACGGGACTGCCCTCTCCACGTCCCACCCGCCCGCCCCTGCAGACCCTTCCCTTCCCGGCCAGGCCCAGCCATGCTGGCAGTGGACCGCTCCCCCGTGCACAGAGCTCCACCAAGACTTCTCTCTCCTCTTCAGGGCTGGGGACAGAGCATGCCCAGTGCCCAGGACAAGCTCCCTCTCCTCCCAGGCCCTCCCTTGCTGTACCCACTCCAGCCCTGCAGTACTGCACCATAGTGTCCAGACACCAGACCTCTTGCTCCATTCTGCCCGGTGGGATGGGAAGGTTCATCCAGTCCCTTTCCCAGGCATTCTATATTCAGGCAGTGTGGCCCCCTAGATTATTAGGATGAATGAAGGTCTCGGGGGGGGGGGGGGGGGGGGGGGGGGGGGGGGGGGGGGGGCGGGGAGCGGGAGCCCAATGAGAGGGAGGGAGAGGAGGGGATGTGGCTGGCTGTTCCTCCGGAAGCCCGGTTGTCTGTCCATCCTACCTGCTTGGTGGCTCAGCTTCATGAACTCTGGCCCTGGGACAGGCAATTCCAAGCCCGGTCCTGGGGATACAGCCACACGCTGCAGGGTCTCAGGTGACAGTCTCTGTGAACAAGCAGAGACCTAAATAGGAATGACCACAGAGGTCCAGCTGCCCCTGACCGGCCTCCTCCACCATCGCCAGGCCCTGGCCTCTGCCTAGGTCCCCACAGGCTCTCCTCTCTCCAGAAAGCTGAGCCCTCAAAGGGTTGTCAAGCAGCCTTGGGCTCAGGCCCCCTCTTATTCCTCCATCCCCTCCTCCTCTTCTCCCCACCAACCCATTCCAGCACCGCCTTGGAGTCTAGAGCAAGCCTGGACTACGGAGGCCTGAGTGCCTTCCCTCCTCCCCACCCCACCGGTTCTTTCAGTTTCTGTAAACATGTGGGGTTTGTTTTCCTTGTTGTTATTCTTCAGGTATTGAGCACTGTCCCTCAGCTTTTTATTTTTCATTTGTTTTGTCTTTTCTTTTTTAGTACTTGGGATCGAACCCAGGGCACGGGACTTGCTAGCCAAGAGCTTTGCCACTGAGCTACAGCCCAGCCTGTCCCTTAGCTTTTTCACTTAAGGCTAGTAGTGTTCCACTACTTCAGCCACAGCTCCATTTCTGTTTTTTTGCTAATTGGAACTAAGAGTCTTACAGACTTTCCTGCCCAGGTGGCTTTGAACCACAATCCTCAGTCTCCTGAGTAGTTAGAATTACAGGCATGACAAAAATGCAAGGAGATACGACAAACAGGACTGGAGAAACAAAGGACTTCCACTCATTTCGTCATATCATTGCTAAATGACTCCAGGTTCTTGACCACATATATGGTATATATATGAGCACATCTGCGGGAACCTAGGAGGAGGACACAGAATCAGAGGGAAATGGAAAACATAAACCAGAGGGGCCCATCAGCTGCACTGGACATTGATGAAAATGAACTAAGCAACTCAAAGAGAGTGACGGGAGGGAGGGAATGAGAGGGAAAGAGGGAACTGGGGGGGGGGGAGGCAACCATGCTTGATAAGAAATGTACTCATTACCTTGCTCATGTAATTGTAACCCCTCTGTACAGTATTTTCACAATTAAAAAAAAGAGGGAACAGCTTATACTAAGCAAACGGAAAGACTGTAAATATCACCTGATGTGGAAGAAATAGTTGTATTGTCAAAGCTCATAGAATTCACAAACTGTATAGACCATGATAATGACAATTGGCCTTGTGAAGGTTAAAATGTTTGTGACTTTAACTAAGTATCACTATTCCACAATACTGTGAAATATGTGAAATTTATGTAATCACCTAATCTCAATAAAAAATTATTAAAAAAAGAATTACAGGTATGAGCCACTGGCACCCTGCTGTAAATGCTATGTTATGTCAGGCCATGGCTGATCTGAGGAGGATGAGGGGAGCTGGTAGCAAGGACCAGGCTCCAGGTGACAAGCTTCTGAGCCAGCTCTACATCTCCAAACGCCTTTGCAGTTTGCATGTTTATGTTCTGTTTCTGAGAACCAATTTCTTATTTATAGTCCTTTGCCACATACGGAGGTTCCCCCCTGCCCAGGAATTTGCAAATGTTGTGGTAGAAATACAATAAAACCTAGTCTGACCTAGGGTCTATGCAATAGAGTAAGGTTAGAGGCTGGAAGGTGTCTTCAAGAACCAAGGACCAGAGAGGGAGAGTAACTTGTCTAAGGTCGCCAGCAAGTTGGTTCGCAGATAGCCTCAATCAGGTAG